ATTCATTTTGAACAATTGGACCATATTTTGCAATAAGGAACCACTTTTTCTGGCTCATTTTAAAAACAACATATGTGACATTGGTTTCCCTAAGCAGAAAGGTGCTTTTATGGAGGAGCTAGAGATAGTGGTTCCTAATTGCAAAATGCAATCCAATTAAAGGGAATTTTTGGATGCATTTTGGAGTATATTTTTCCCCTTCCAAACATTATTGCCTCCCTCTGCCTTTTTCCTTCAAAATTGGACCACGATTAGCAGAAAGGAACCAAGCCGCATCCGTTACTGCCAAATGTAACAGAGCAATTTAATTTTTTACAAGAAAACGTTTGTGCGGATTTCTTTGAAAATTTCAAGGAAGTTTCTTCGCTCTTTATATGCAGAAAATTCACTGAAATGTTCATAAAAATTTGCACAACCGTTTTCATGTAAAGAATTAAATTGCTCTTTTAATTTGGCAATAGCTGATGTAGTTCCTCAGTTCCTTTCTGTTTAACGCCGTCCAATTAAACTGGATTGTTCCGAGACCGAGATGGTCGTCGTGCATAGAGAAAAAAAAGGAGGTGTTTGCATTTCGGGCATCTTGGAATTTTTTTGATGACGTAGGTTGGTACAGCGACGTTTATCATCGATTTTCTTGGAAATGGTGTAATTTATGGAAAAAAGTCATTCTATAAAAAGTGCTTGAAATTATATCATGAGTTGATTTAAGCAAAAAAATGGAACATTATGTTCCTTTTTTCATACTTCGAATTCCGGATTCCGCTGGCCAGGTTGTACCGACCTACGTCATAGGGTAAACAAACCTCAAGATGCAAACACCTCCTTTTTTTTTCTCTATGGTTGTCGTGCGGAGGACGTTTTGAGAAAATGCAACGAGGTGCAAAGTGGCAACAGAGCCCTGAGAGCTGCGAGTAGATGGCTCCTCATTACAATCGCTTCCTCCACGTTCGACTAATGGCCCTCATTTATTGGCTTGTTGGCCGATTCAAAAGGATAAAGATCTATATCCTACGTTTCCGATCCGGGGAGGATGCATCTGTGCTAAGGGCGTATATCATTCGGCCGAGTTCATTTCGCTCGGGCAACTTCAAAAACACTTCAGTGTTCGACGCATGCGGAAAAAAAGCGGAATATTATAAAATAGGGGAACATCAGGAAGCATCGTCAAGTTAGGTTAGTTTGCGGAAAATGTCTCGGTTTGCTCCCTCTGATCTTAAACGGATGCACATCGACGATGAAACTATCGGACCACGCACCTCAATTGAACGTGTTTCTGTCAAACGGAACTATGTGCATTATGAAGTGAGCCCTGTTATTCATTTATCCTTACAGATCCCAGGGATCATGTCTTTTTGCGCATGGTTCCGTCTGGCAGAAGTACGTCCAATTGCGGTGTTTGAAAGTATCCGCTCCCATTTCATTTTTTTTTTTTTTTTTTTTTTTTTTTTTTTTTTTTTTTGACGAAGAACAAATCAATATCATTCATTGAAGATTTCACAGAGTTTTCTTCGCACAGAGAAAAAAATTCACGGGAGTTATCAAGAATTGACGTTGAGGAGTTTTCCATTAAAAAAATAAAGAATGACTCGAAGTCTGCAACGTCGCAAACCGAGGTACGTGGTCTAGTAGTTATGCCCTGTCATGTTGAAGTGATCATTTAGCTGAGCGAGTTTATCTTAAAGAAAAGTTTAAAACGCCTTCAAAATAAGCTGATACGTTGCCATACACTCGTGCACGAATAGTTGTATCGCGAATAGTTGTATAGAGTTCAGGCCAGGCTCGGACTGGCCATAAGGCCGATCTGCCATCGACAGATACGCCCCCTTGGCGCGACAAAAACGCGCCCCTCTGACAGATAGTAAAATAAGAGAGAAAAAAAAATTACGACCGAGAATATACGCGAAAATGGTCTTAAATGAACGGGAGAAGAGAGACTCATGAGTAAAGAAAGGTGCTTTTACGCATGATAGTGGTAAACAGAGAACTACTTTCTGAGGTGTAAACACTTTTCTGTGAAATTTTCACCTTTTTGTCGACATACAGGCGCTTCATCATTCCCCTTCTTCATTCAATATCCTTAGAAGCGATGGTCGGTCCGATTTTTACACAAACGCACCCATTATAGACCTCTTGAGAGACCTTTAAATATATTTCCTCCTTTTTAAAATGACTATTGATTTGGACCTACCTTCGCCTTTCTCGGACAAACTTAACCTTAATTCATCTCGAAATTGAAAAATAAGAGACATCTAAATTGTAAACAACTATTTGTGCAAGATGGATGTCCACATTGCATATGAAAAATGTAAGACGCGATGGCGTGAGTCGTGACCTCGCAATGGTCTGCTCTATGCTACTAGTTTGAAGCACCATTACGAATAAGACAAACGCAAACAAACACAATATGGAAATAAAGCGAGGGAAAGGATGCGCGTTTACGACGGCGCAGTGATACAACTATTCGTACTTGATGGACGTCCGTGCTGCATCTAAAAAATTGAAGGCGCGATGACGCGAAGCGTGAGCTCTCAATGCTCTGCTTATGCTGTCAATGAATTGTGGCTCAGATTCGGTAGAAAAGTTAAAAAAGAGGCCCGAATACGTCTTTCCTGTTTTCGGCTGTGTTGATACTCGTTCTTTTCCTTTTTTCAGCTTCTTGTCTGATTCTTTTTTAGGGTGGATTTGCAGACCTACCGCAGCACTGGCTCGGTTCTTTTCGAAATAATGATGCTTGGATGCGTCTGGTGGCTTTAATTTTTTATGTTTCCTTAAATACCAGAAGTCTGTCAGTTCCTTCGATACGTTCAATTTTGCAATTTTTACTCTGTACGATTAATAAACTTTTGACCTGAAAATTGCGTAAACTTGTGCTGCTTTGCCAACATTTTCTGAACCCCTCTTCACGTAGGGGATGCCCCACCAGGAAATATAACATTACGCCCCTTTAACTATCTAAGGGTCTACGCCTACGCTCGCAGATGCGAGCCAGTCCGACCCTGGTTCAGGCACCCGAGCCATCTTTCACCTGTTGCAGCGAGTCACTCGCTGGACGAGCTTTTATAAAGTAGGTCAGGATTGCCAAACTAATTGCTCAACTCTTTGATCATCATTCATCATAAGGCAAATCTGAGCGTCGACTTCCGAAAGCTATGTGGGGGAGGTAGGAGTGCAGGGCTTCTAAAATATATTGTCTCCGGAGCGGACTCGAGGATTTTGAATAATACTGCTGTGCGAAGGAAGAATGCCGTATGAACATTCGAGAGCTGCCAAATTTCCTCCGATAAAATAATTATTTCTTTAGGAAAGTTATGAATATATTTCGTTTAAATTTTCGGACACTTTAGATCAAATTACAAACAAAATTATCTGAGAAATCGGAAAGAAAATATTCACAAATTCTCCTGAAAATTAGTGATTGTTTAAGGAAATCTCACTGGAAAAAAAAACACATTGGATCTAGAGTCCAGACTCTTGAAAACATTGACAAGAAAAAGGACTCTGGATTCAATCAGATGTAAGCTTAAATCAAAAGGAAATCCGCTTAAATTAAGAGGCTTGGTTCTTGATTTAAGCTTAAATCTGATTGAATCAAGAGTATTTTTTCTTTTCGATGTTTTTAAGAGTCTGAACTATAGATCCAATGTGTTTTTTTCCAGTTTTGGCAACACCTGGAGGCTCCCACGTCGTTTTTCCTCAGCGCGGCAGAACAGAAGAGTGAGAAAAGAGCAAACAGAGCAGCCGGCGAAACAAAACTGAGGAATTAAAACAAGAGGAAAATTTTGATGAAGCGGACGTCGCTTAACGCCGGGAGAGCCACTTGAAAATGAATGAAGAAATTACCGCGGCGGAAAGGTCACCCGCGCGGCGCGGCGCACAGTGGGCGCGAGGCACCGGGCGAGCCCGGCGAGACCCCGCGGCGCCAACGCCCGACGAAGCGCGTGGGAGGCGGTAATCGGAGCGCTAAGCCAGTCGCGACAATAAACGTGGAAATTGAAATTGTAAACACTTCGAAACGGGGCTGAATTAGTAAACACGGCGCAGGGTTTATTTCCCACCCGGGAGAGCGACGTGTTGCTGCGCGAGGAGCGGGGGAACGCGGGGAGGAGGGGGCGGGGGACGAGGAAAAGGGGGGCACAGCGCGGGGTGGATTAAGTTCAAAGACAAACTACCCGCAAAGGCTCAATTGCTCTGCCCCCCCCCCCCCCNACCCGTGACACAGCGATGCCGAGCTCGTATTCGGGTTTTTTCCCGGGTCCTCCTGACGCTCTCCAAAAAGCAAGGACCCAAGGGTGGAGTGCCTTTATAGGGAGAGTATGGACAACTCGGAAATTTAGAGGTTAGGTTTGATCAGGTCATGTAGCTGGTGGGGCCCAAAAGGGCAGCCAACCCATGAACTCGAATTGGACGTATTTCTGTCAAATGGAACTAAGCGCCGATTTGAGTTCCTTTTGAAGAATTTTGCATGCCGGGTAGCGCGTTCCGTCAAACGGAACTAAGCGCCATGGAAAAGCATTGCGAATATAGGGCGGAATGAGCCCGACGCGACGCCCGGATCCGCCGCTGATCCAAGCCCCCCTCTACCTTCCTATCCCTATGGCGCTTAGTTCTGTTTGACAGAAATACGTCCAATTATTGTACTAATTTTCACTATTCTTACTACCCGTCGTTTCATAAATTATAAAAGCACGTACAAGACTTTGATTTCGCATAAATTTTCTCAGTTTCTGAGTCTTAATCCTTATGGACGCTTGTATATAATGCGCTGTCGGCCATATTGATTAATATTTCAAATGCATAAGTTGTCAGCGGCGTTTTTCTTGTGATTTTTGTTTTACACATTGTCGCCTTTTTGGGCCCTGAGAGCTGCATAAGTCGATTCGTCCATACTCTCCCTATAAAGGTACTCTACCCGTTACCTCACTCATTCTGAAATATTCATGTAAAAATATAAAGGCGATCCTGCGATTAGGTTTATTTCGAGGAAATAAATCATCATCGGAGATTTTTGATATTACTGCTATATATACTCGAGGAATGGCGGGAATTTCAAAATTGGCAGAAAATTGAACTGAACAAGAGGTGTTGAATCTAACAAAAAGATACAGCAAAGCGTGCTCCGGGGATTGGGGTGCGTGGCCAGGGGGCCAATATAGTTCTCTAAGATTGTTCCTTCAGGCTAGGTTCAACGCTCGAACTATGTCACGGAGTGGTTTGCACTTGAAAACTCTACTCGGATAAAGAAATCGTCGCAGTCGGGCCAGATTTTCCTGCTCGGTGGGTCTACACATGAAAGTACATCGACACAGAATGAAGCCGCACTGCCTGCAATCCGCACTTTTAGCGTCCGGGCAGACTGCTCTCTCTTCCACGGTGAGATTGTCGAAGGCGTCCAAAGCATCTCTACAGTTCAGCTTTGCTGATCGGCCATGATTAGGGGCACTGCAGTCATCCAGAATGTGGTGTCTCCTCAATTTCACCCTGAAGTGCTGCATCATCTCCTCAAAAGTTGGGATAGAATCTGCATCTGAGTTAGATGGCGAACCGTCGTCGGTTGACCCGTTGTCATTCGCGTTGTTCTGGAATAAAACACGAGTATCAATCACTTACACTCGGCCGCTTTCTTGTATTGCATTTTGCAATAAGGAGACACCTCCGCGGGTTTCCCATAAAAGCACATATGTGCGTGGGGAAACCAATGACATCGATGTTGTTTCTAAAATCGGTCAGAGGTAGTGGTTCCTTATTGCTAAATGTAATCCAGTTACAATTGCGTTGCCGGGAAATGTGGGGGGAGGGTATTCGCACACTTTAACCATTCTTCCTATTACATTTTTCGATGTCAAAATTTAACATAAGAGAAACTTTTTCTCCTAGATCCATTTAGGCGAGAACACGAAGCCTGTACGGAGGGGCACTAAGAAAAATTTGGATCAAATGAACCAGAGGTAAGATGTTTCATAGCGGCCGCTTTCGGCTCATGTAACCGTATCTTCAGTTTATACGACCGAGCTTTCACATTTAACCGAAGTATAGAGCAAGCTCGGTTTCATTAATCGAGGATAAGGCTCCTAAAACCGAGAGCACGGCTACGCGAACTGAATAGTTCGGCCGATGTAGAACACCTTACATAAACTATTGTCACACAATCAAACCTCCCATCAAAATATCAAAGTCGGGTATTGTGATATGGCATATTTGATGACTTGGACCAATCACAGCACTTGACCTTGATATATTAATGGGGTTATAGTACATTTCATCAACGATTTTTTGTCCGCGCACCTGTTTTTTCCAGTAATTTACGTCCACGCGTTTTTTTGGCACGGGAGTTTTGGTCCATATACCAGTTGAGACCCAATGTTAATTGGCCCACATGTAAATACAAACGACAATTGCTCACGACGTTTTTGGATGGAAATGTAAAATGTCTTGAAAGAATGGGGGTTTGTTTGTTTTTTTGTTTTGTCTGTTTGGTCCAACGGAGAATAATATATAGTTGAGAGTTTTGGTAAAAATGGGAGAGCGTCAATTCCATGAGATAAAATTCACTAAAACTCTCTACACCTCTTTGGTGTAACAGGACTTAATTATCTTTCAAGATTTTCCCACCTTGTTATACCTGAACCGGATAATCCTCTATGTTTGCCTCAGCTAAAGGCTCTTAGATTTTTCCTGTGTACGATAAGTATCTTAATTTAATTTGCGAGGCATGATCTGTACTTAAAAAGGATGCCTGTCATTCTATAATGTTCTAACATTTCTATTGTCTTCGTATGATACTGTGCAACACCTCTGTTGTGAAATAGTTGCTTAGGCGCCGCCGCACGGCGGGCGGCCGGCCAGAAACGCGCATTGGCGCCTACAAACCTAAGTGGATACTTCAAGCATTGTGCAATGCGTGAAGTATCCCCTTAGGTTTGTAGGCGCCAGTGAGCCTCTCGCGCTGGCAGCACGCTGCTCTGCGCTGTTAGGCTTCAAAATTTATACTCGCACAGTCAGCGTTTGTTAACTCATGATTTTGAAATGTTTGCACACTCTGCATTGATTATTCTCATTTAAATTGATGGGGAAAAAATATTATCAATTTATCAAAGGAGAATAATAATATAATGTGTGTTTTTTAAATATTGGTGGTTCCGTGTCAAATTTAATAATTTTCAAAGCACTTTAATTATTTCTTTTACATTTTGTTTTACTTACTTACTTTTATTGTGCTGCAGCGAGGTGCACGCGCAACCAAACGCTCAAAATTTGACACTAACTTTACTGTTTTTAAGGCCGAACTTTTTACGGACACTCAAAGCACTTACCACTCCACCCGCAGCGCGGCCGGCGTGGCAGAGGGCTGTACGACGAGGATCTAAATAGTGCCTTCAATTTTTCGTTAATGCTGTAAAAATACAGTAGGCACGAATAGTTGCAAGCACGTATGCGAAGGATGTGAGACGTGATCTCTTTTGCTTCACTCTCGCGATGTGCGCTAAAAAAAATAGTGTGGCGATTTTAACCAAAGGTATGGTAAATTATATCATGAGTCGACTTGATTTTTGACACAGTGATACTGCAGAGTGAGGATAACCAAACATCTGTGACATCTATCATACGTCTGGTGAATACGATTAGAGTTCCGGTATGTGCTAACATCAAGTCTGTTGGTAATCATGCTTGCATTACTATCACTCACAATCAGTCCATACTTTTTTCAGTGAGCTGAGCATGATTTGTAGATCAACATTCGTGACTAAGTATTCGTGACTAAGATGTGTCTTCGTAGTGATAATTGAAGGCTTCCTGTCGTTTTGGATCCTTGCAGTGAAGTCTGCCGCCAAGCCTCTGCGCCGCTGGTGAAGCAGCGATTGCCTGGAGAGCAATAAAACGCCTTCACTCCCTTGCGTATGCAACGCGGACATCCGTGGAGCTCGAATAGTTGCATCCAGGCGTTATAATGAAATTTGTTTAGTGCTTATTTTATGCGATGCTGGATGAGGAGGTTATTCTTGTTGCTCTTACACCCATTCCAGTTTTGCTTAATGTATCAAGGAAGTAAACTATCACGCATTTTTATCGCGATATTTTCAATTTTCCGAAAATGCATTTATTGTTTAAATGCATTACAACCAATGGTCCTCAAAATTGCAACAAATTCAGATATCTGAGCAATATTTGTAGAGTTTCTTTGAATTTACTTCAACGAGACATTCTTTTTTTACTTTTCTCTCTTTCGGAACTATACTTTTAACGTTCAATTTTCAAAAAACAATCCTCGAAGCCGCTCTAAAAATCCCCGCATAAAATCCTTGTTAAGGTGTTGACAAAAATCACACATGTGTTCTTCCCAAGTTTTCTTTTATTTTAAATAGGTATCTGCACTTTTGGGGGTGAGTCTCGATATGATCCTTATGCGTCACTGGAATAATATACCACTTTACATTAGGCTATGCTAGGCCAAGGTACCCACTCAGACCGCTCCGTGAACGGCCTTTAGGAAGAATGTGCGGCTTTTTTTCATTAATACAAAATGAATAATCTATGAACTGAGGAGGATCTATTAACCAATGGACTTTGCCCTCAAACAGATGAGTGCAAGGTTGAATAATGAGCATGGGATCCAGGATCTTGGTCGAGATGAGCGGGCGAAGATATCAAAAGTGAGCTTGGAGTCCGATCTCTTGGACGCAATTCTACATTACATTTCAAGATTTTTGAAGATATTTGGACCGCGTTAAACAGAAAGGAACCAAGCCACATCAGCTATTGCCAAATTTAATGGGGCAATTTAATTTTTTACATGAAAACGGTTGTGCGGATTTTTGTGCAAATTTCAATGAATTTTCTCCACGATACAAAGCAAATTCTTTAAAATTTTCTAAAGAATTTGCATAAACGTTCTCTCGTAAAAAATCAAACTTCCCTGTTAAATTTGGCAATAGCTCATGTGGCTTGGTTCCTTCCTGTTTAACGCGGTCCATTTTTTGGCTTGAACATTCCTCATGATTGATATGGAGGATAAACGTTCGATTTCTCCAAAATCACTCACCTATACTGCCATGCTAAGGAAGAACACCGTATGAACCTCCAGGTGTTGCCAAATTTCTTCTGATAAAATACGAATTTATTGGGGAAATTGTAAGTATTTTTCTCCCGATTTTTCAGACTATTTTGTTCGCAATTTATTCTAAAATATCTGGAAATGTTGAGGAAAAATATATAAAAATTTATGTAAAAAATACATGTTTTATCCGGGGAAATTTGGCAACTCTCGAATGTTCATACGGCGTTCTTCCTTAGCACGGCAGTATAATGGTCGAATTTTGAAATACCTACATCGATTGTATCCAGAACGGATGGCGCCATATCTGAGAATTCATGCTGATATCTGTGACGCTTAAGCAGAATATTTGGATCTTAGAATTCTGCTTGACTCAAAAACAGTCTCATCGGTTTCAGCCTCGAGCCTCGCAGCGCCGCAGGGCCAGCCTCAGGCAGGAGCGCCCCTGGGGGCAACCACCGGGACCTCGGTCAAAGTCAATCGGAGGACCTTCAGGGACTGGAGGAGAGGAGATCCCACTTTGGTCAGAAACCTCGGCAATAGAGATTCCTTAGGTAAGATCGAACTACATGAATGCGTCATCACTAACAACTGCACCGTCGCACAGTGGATCGAGTCAATGGAAGAGATCGGACAAGATTTGGAAACTTCAAAAGCTCATAATTCCGTTCATGCAGCAATTTAAGATTATAAAAGTGGTTCCGCTGTTTTCCTCGTAAAATTTTCTTCTAGAAACACCACTTAAAATGCTTTAAAATGCGTGGAATTGAACATTAAAAGTTGCAATTTTTGTCATAAATTTCATGTCCACCCTCTCTAATTGACTAGATCCACTGTGCGTCGCGTCGTTAACGTATATTAAAAGGAAGTCACAGTGGATCAGTTTGACTGCATTTTGCAATTTGGACCTATAAATTCTGGCTCATCTGAAAAAACACTTATGTGCATAGGGAAACTAATGGCACATACGTCGTTTTTAAACCGGGCTAGAATGTATAGTTCCAAATTGCAAAATGCAGTCCAGTTATTGGCAGAACGGGACCATGGGGGGGGGGAGGAATCTGCCCGATGAAAAGTTTCCTTCTTATTTGAATCACATCATAATCGTCTCATTTTAATCGACAAAACATATAAAATCGCACAAAGCATTTCGACGGTGTTAGTCCGGAATCATATCTCGTTTGCGGTGTCTGAATATCTCCGCCTCTATGTTATTTTTTGAAAGGATCACGTCATTCCGCGAAGTTTTTTTTAGAATTTTCTTCGCTCAGAGAGGAAAAATCACGGCAGTTTTAAAGAATTGCCGTTGAGTAGTTTTCCGATTAAAAAATAAAGTACATATGCGACGTCGCACACCGAGTTATGTTATCGCCGACTTACACCGTCGATTTATGATCTGATCGGTGGTGGGTCAATATGGTAATTGGTCATTGTATCATTGGTCAACTGTCTTTCCGCTCCGTCCTAAGTGATTTCCTTTTTTCAAATGGATTAAGAGACAGGTTCGGATTTATACATTAATTTATGACATCTCGCTATCATAAGTACGCGTAGAGTACAATCGATATACAGTAAAAATTTCAAACATAGACTTCTAACTCTGAATGAGTTATTAGCGTTTTTAGTGTGAATGTCAATCACTTACCATCATAGTTTGAAACTGGCGAAACTGGTGTCCTAGTAAAACAAAAAACAAGATGAATTCTACCCCAGACATGACTGTTTTAAGTGCTTATCACTGCTCTAAGCTTCAGTGACACCAGACTGATGAAAATTGATACCTTCATTCATCTCTCATTTATTTTAGTACTTATTTCAAAAGAAAGTAAAAGAAGAATCTTATCAAACCGCCTGCAGTTTTCAAACTGAAATTCTCACACAAAATTTGTCTGCCTTAACAATATTCGTCTGGTTCATAGAACGATTACCTCTCGCTTCCTCTCTGTGCCTGTATTGTTTAATCGCTATCGAATGGCCTTGATCGATAGATAGTTTTCCCAAAATAGGGCTGTATCGATCAATGTTATTCGATAGCGATTCAACCATAGACCCTACTGGTGAACCGATAAGTGACTTTTTTTCAGAGAAAAAAACCCACTTAAACATCTGTCGTATGACTTCTAATTATTCTGTAGTTATTCTCTTTAAAACGCGAGCGAGAGGATTTTTTTAAAAGTAAGAATCCATGCACTCTACGATTGAAAATCATTTAACTCTGCATGTAACAAAAAAGTATTATTCTATAATTGATTCTCGGGGGGAAAAATTATATTTTCAAGGAAGCTTCGTTGCAGCTGTATCATACCTCATTATTCATCCAACCCATTTTTATTGAAATTTTGCGTCACAAAAATTTCAAATCACTCTGAAGTTACTCGTATCATGTTCTCAAACTCCGTGGAAAATCGCACCCAAGTAGAGTCAAATATCAGCCAACATTCCTGATTAGCATACATTTGGTATAATATTATAAAAGAAGGAAATAAACTAATTCTTTATTTCGCACGATTTCTGAAATCGCCGGCATCGTGATGAAATTTATTCCGGCGCAACACACACTGAAAATAGTCAAATGCTCAATTCGACTCAAAAGGACTTCCGTCTTTTGTCATGCCGAAAATTTGAATTGTCAAGTACAAGAAACGTTAAATTCTCGTTCGTGAGTTGATTAGAATCTTTCGATGTGTGTGCCATGTCATGTGAAATTTTGATGCGAAAATGTATTGTGATTTTTGATCTCTCGCACTGTCTAGTGGTCTAGTGCCATTTTGCGCGGCGAAATGTTCATTCATTTTATCAATACTATCAATAGAACGTATTTATGCCAAAAGAACATTGGCGGATCCAGCAATTTGGCAACACCTGATTTCCTCCATTTAAATCTATGGAAATATATCGATTCTTGGAGGGGCCAGTGCTCCGACAAGAATCGATTATTTAGCATAGGTTTAAATAGAGGAAATCCGGTGTTGCCAAATTGCTGGATCCGCCTCTGCAAAAGAACCTATGTGCTTAAGGATTGCGTGCAACATAGTTCCTTTTAGCATAAATACGTCCAATAGAGACCACGAGCGGCGGAATTGCAAGGTAGCAGGATGAAAAAAGTTCATATTTCAGATCAGGATTAACTGCAGTCCTACTCTCAGAGGAATTAGCCGACGAGAAACGCAATGAACAGGGCTATTTATTGTAGCCGCAGCAATTTATCAATTTCCATCCGTTTGGCATCGCGGCTGCACGAGTGGAAGGGGCTGGCGTAGTTTTTCTGGGAAATACTTTAAAATTTAAAACCCCGTTCTCCCGCCATTTTGCATTTTTAATCCCAACGGCAGCGAAGCAATGGCCAACAAAGCCCCGCTTGTGTTCTCCGCACCTCAAACCACAAAAGCGAATAATGATCTCTCGTTTACCGGCGAAATTACTCAATTTGTCCGAAAATCAAAAACGCTTCAGTGGAAACGAGACGCAATAGTTCACTATAGATCGGCTTTCTCGGATGCATCTCCGTTTTTGAAAATTTTTAATTTGATCATATCTCAATTTTCAATTATTCATTCACTTGCAATCATTGCGACATGCTTTTGATTTGAAGAATAATACGGAAAGGTCGGATGGAATACCACAGTAAGCCTACCTAAGTAACAAAGGTCCCAATAAATTGCAATCACATGGTAAAATTTTTTGCTATTGTTACGTAGTGTCGTGTTTGTTGTCTACTCACTGATTGAAGGGGCTCCTGCTTTTATTGATATTTATATTGCAATCAAACTCAGACGGGTTGCAATTTTTCTGCGTTGCGAATGGACCACTAGATAAGGTACGAATTTCAGCATTCTGATACATGTTTCTTAACCAAAATTTTACGTAAAATACGATGGACACAACGAAAATTACCGAAATTAACTCCTTACGAAGATATTTAATGATTCTTAATGCGTGAATTCAAACCACCCGCTCATGAAAACTCAATGCTCTACGTGATTCACATCGCGCGCTAAACGTTATCATGACAGTCTCTGCGATATAAAAATCTGGCAACCTCAATCTTGACGCTTTTGCTCAGTTATAGCAAATTGCTAATTGTTTGAACAACACATGATGGGAAATGAACATTGCTCGATTGAGAAGCTTGCTGAAACCGTTGTAGTGGGCGATTTGACTCACGTAGAGTTTTGAGTTTCTTGTGAGCGGGCAGTTCAAATTCCTCGTAACCAATGTGAAATAAAAACGTTAATATCTTCGTTAGGAGTTGGTTTCCGTAATTTTCGTTGTGTGAATCGTTTTCTACGTGAAATTCTGGTTAAGAAACATGTATCAGATCGCTTAAATTCGTACCTTGTCTAGTGGTCCATTGCCTGACTAGCTAAAGATAATAAGTTCTGTCCAAACCGCAACTTTCTACGTTCAATATTAGCCGAGCTATCGCCCTTTAAAAAGTCGGGTTTTTGACGTTCTCAGCCGTTCAGCCGAGTTTCACGGTTAGTAACCAGTGCAAATGTGTGTTTCCCTGATTGATGACAGCAAGGTGGAAGAAACCAAGGGTGTCACTACCGCGGTGGATGACGTAAAAAACCCGACTTTTCAAGGGGCGATATCTCGGTTAATATTGAACGTAGAATGTTGCAGTTTGGACAGATCTCATTAGTTTTAAGTAATGTACAAGAATCAAGCATCAAAACACGATTCTGTGACCAGCGCAACTGGCCTATTACTACTGGAGTCGTGAATCCGTTATCTTTGTGAGAGTGTCCACAAGATTTTAGCTGTATTAATGGCCTGCGTTTTATGCTCTTTCACTCATCACCGAAATGGAATAAACCATAGATATCACATAGATATTACAAACAGCGGAGTAATTCCGGACGAAAACCTTGAAGTCCCTCCATAAAGCGCTCCGTGAGATTATGTGGCGTGTCTTGGCAACATATGAACAGAGCGCAGTGGAAACAAAGGCAATGATTAATTATGTGCGTGCAGAGAAAGGGGTGTTTATTTGAGCAAAAGAAAAGCGCCTCGCGCCCCAAAAGCCGGGACCCCTGGATTTGTCGACATGAATCGTATTTACGTATCGTTGGTAAGTAGGGGGACGGGGGCTTTGTCGCTCTGCAAGACTCCCTAGTCGTTACAAATGGAGCTTTTTGCCAACGCTTCTAATTTCTACTCGTCGTTCCCAAAACGAAGAAACGTAACTCACTTCCAAGGGTGTAAAATCAACTCAAATCAGTCGAATTTTTACGGAAGTATGACTTTTCGATTTCTGTCGAATATTTCGCTGATTTTTCCCTGCCATTTGAAAAAAATCGGGTTCATGACATTTTGTCAACGATTTTTTGTCCGCGCACCTTTTTTGTCCAGTAGTTTACGCCCGCACGTAAAATAAGCAACAGTGACGTAGTGACTTGGTCCAAGCGTTATATTTTAGTCGGAATGTAAAATTATAATGACAATAAGGAAATGAGAAATTGAGACAGATGGGTGTGTTGTTATGGTTGCTCATTTTCTAAATGAAATGTTATATTACTTTCTCCTTTTGAACAAGTAGTCCAAACTAGACTGAGAATTGGTCACACAAATTTTTCCCATAGCTATTTGATGACCCAATCAAACCGTCCTGCTTGCACTTCTTGTCCAAATTCCCCCTTAACGGTAGATCACGTTCTTATAAGTTGCCCACTTTATAAAGATATCCGAAAACGTTTTTTTCCCTACCCCTTACCTCTCTTAAAAATTTACTTCTGAATACTCATCCTGTGAAACTTTTTGAATTTATGCGCTCCACTAATCTCAAAATTTAACCTTTCCCTCAACCCTTTTGTATTTTTACTGATATTTCCATGTAAATTTATTATTGTTACTGCCCTCTTTAGAGGTGTAAATGGCCTTAGATGCTAAAGCACCGCTTAAAAATAAAATTTTTTTACTACTACTACTCTCCTTTTGAATAATCTTTTTAAATTGTCATTGGTGAACATTTGGTTTTCTTTCTATCCTTAAAATATTCGATGTACAATATACCTTATATATGTATAGGTACTTTTTTTATTTTTTTAATTTTTTCTTTACGAAATTATTACTTGATTTTGAAAACATTTTTATTTTTAAAACGTGACAAATATTTGTAAAACCTTTTCCAAGCGACATTAATCTCAATGAGCCGCAGTTGTGCCGACAGAAACTGCAAAAATGAATAAAAGAACACAAAAAAACCAAGAAGCACGCAATCTTTAGTTTTAACCCATTTGTACATCAATCTTTTAGAGTCAAATACGTCAAATTTTGAGCCTTTGGTTGCGCGTACACCTATCTGCAGCACAATAAAACCACAAAATGTAAAAGCAAAAATTAAAGTGCTTTGGAAATCATTAAATTTGACACGGAACCACCAATCTTTAAAAAACACACAATTAATTATTCTCCTTTGATAAATTGATTCATATTTTCCCCATCAATTTAAATGAGAATAATCAATGCAGAGTGTGGAAACATTTCAAAATCATGAGTTAAAAAACGCTGACTATGCGAGTATAAATTTTAAAGCCTAACAGAGCGGAGCGGCGCGGCGCCTTGATACAACTATAGAACCTCGACGAATGTCCGTATTGCGTTCAAAAAATTGAAGGCGTTTTGACTTCCTACGCATAATGCGTATAGTTGATTCGATCGACAAACGCGTTGGTCGGCGGTGACGGGGACTTGATGCAACTATTTAAGCTTGTTGGATGTCCATATCGGTCCGACTGAAGTGCGAAACCACGTAACTCCATTGCGGTGTTTCAAAATTTCCGTTCTGAATTCATCTCATTCATGAGAAACAATCCAAATTTACGATTTTAAAGTTTGAACCAAACTTCTGCTATCGAATTCGAAAAATCATGGAGAATTTAAATTTCATGTTCACCAGATTTTCGAAAGAAAAATAAAATTTCTAAGGAAGTCTGCAACGTCGCAAACGGAGAAACGTTGTTTCTCATTTCGCCCGGAAATATGTATGTATGAAATTGAAGGCATTATGACTGGCCTCTCTCAACTGATATTCGTCTGTAACAATAAACAATGGGACGCGCTTGCTACGGCGCCTTGATACAACTATACAACCTCGACGGATGTCCGTATAGCGTTCAAAAAATTGAAGGCGTTTTGACTTCCTACGCATAATGCGTTTAGTTGATTCGATCGACAAACGCGTTGGTCGGCGGTGACGGGGACTTGATGCAACTATTTAAGCTTGTTGGATGTCCATATCGGTCCGACTGAAGTGCGAAACCACGTATCTCCATTGCGGTGTTTCAAAATTTCCGTTCTGAATTCATCTCATTCATGAGAAACAATCCAAATTTACGATTTTAAAGTTTGAACCAAACTTCTGCTATCGAATTCGAAAAATCATGGAGAATTTAAATTTCATGTTCACCAGATTTTCGAAAGAAAAATAAAATTTCTAAGTAAATCTGCAACGTCGCAAATGGAGAAACGTCGTCTCTCATTTCGCCCGAAAATATGTATGTATAAAATTGAAGGCATTATGACTGGCCTCTCTCAACTGATATTCGTCTGTAACGATAAACAATGGGACGCGCTTGCTACGGCGCCTTGATACAACTATGGTATTGATGGTACAATTATGGTATAGTTTTGATACAAATATGCAATTGATGGATAGCGAGTGAGAAGCAGAAGCCACCAGGAAGGCCTCCCCTGGGAAAAATTGAAATTTTAACCCCGCCTTAACTCAATTTGAGTCATTTTTGGAATGTATTATAAAAAAATATAAGGAGAGAGGGCCAACCTAAATATTTAACCACTCCAACAACATTCCATCGTATTTTTGGCAATGTTCGGATAACGCTATTTTCTCATTTTTTATACACGTAGGCTAACTTCAACCAAGTTTGGTTTTTAATTATTTCAGAATATTGCCAAAGTTTGAAACAGTATTGCTGACCAGGCTCGCCAGGTCATACGACGATTGACGGGAATATTTACTGGTGATATTTTCAAGCAACTTGTGCGATTAAAGACTTATCATCAATAACGGCCAAAAAGTTGATTTGGAGTTCTAAATATTTTTAATTCTAAAAACTGCCGCAGAACACAGCACTAACGGTACTTTCCAACTTTATACGTACACTGAGTGTTTGCAGCATTCTTGACCTGCTGGGCAGCATGTTGTCCTGATTCATTGAGGAAGATGCGAAGTCTAACTCAATTTTTTATTTTTTGGACCTTGGCTCGTCATTGAAGAGCAAACTTCAATTAAATCTTCTCAACCACTATCAATAAACGTCTGTATATGATAGGTACTATCATTAAATACCACTATTTTATATTGAGCAAATATTATATTTTTGGTTCACCGATTAATTTTTTTTATTTAGAAAAAATAAAAAAAGCGAGAAATTAATTACATTCTCTATCTGAAAACGTTTTAATGGGTGTGTGGGGCACTGCAGCAGGTTCTTTTTTTCAACAACGCCCTCGGTACAAGCGAACCATTCAAAATGACGACACTTTTCGCGCCATATCCACCGCGCACATCTACCGCGCAGCGGGCGGGAAGTCTCAGAACTAGTAGCGCGCGGAATTCAAAATGACGCGTGGTCCTCGAACGAGCGTCTACCCCACCCCCCTCCCCTCACACGTTCATAGCGGCTAGAATAGTGGCGGACTGGTAGATCGGAACACTGTGAATTTTATCCTCAACTACCCTTGTGGTTAAATCTGTAGGGTGGCCTTATTATCTTCTTTTTCCTCATAATATGTATCGAAAATGCCTCGCAGCGAAAAATCAGTATCTGAAAGTCGATGAGAACGAAAACACACCAACTCAGAATTTTTTAAACGCTTCATTCTCTGTCATCGAGCACGGTGTATCGATTTCAACTTGGTGCTTTAAAAAGTCTAATCTTTGGCACCAAAAAGGTTTTTCTTTAATTAACTTCTTCGCCCGCTGCGCAGTTTTAGGTGTTTCCTGAACAATTTTTACTTTCTCGCTCCCCTCGGGTAGAGAGAAAGCATTGTCATCCTCCAAGAAGAAAAAAAAAAAAGGTAGAAATTTCATCATTTCTGGACGTTTTAAGGTCCCGGGAGTCAAAATAACCATACTTGAAAAAATGTGTGTCCGTCCGTCCGATGTCCCCCAAATCTGTGTGCAGCGATATCTCAGAATCTATCTGTTCGATTTCATTCAAAATTGGCACAGAACACCATATCTATGGTCTCCTTATGCACGTCAAACGATTTTGGGGTACGCTGAAATTTGGGGGGGCTAGGTTCAAATTGGGTTAAAGGTCCATTTTTTTTTTTCGAGTTGGTGTGTTTTCGAACTCACTTAGAGTCCCTTTATACTGAGAGTCAAGACAATTCGGCTCATGGATGTCACAAACGGGAACAAAGATTACAGAAATTGAACGTTTTTCGTAATCTTTGATCGGCCCATTCTCAAATGCCGTTCCTCCTCTCATTCCGTTTGTTCCTCACTGAGAAAAAACTATGGTTTATAAACCTATTAGAGGTAAATATGGAACACCTATAATAGTCGTAAATAAACTAATGATTCTCGGTCTGTGAACCATACTAAGGTCTCTGTACCTAATTAAGGTACCCCGTACCATAACTAAGGTATATGTGCTATTATTATATGTAGAGGTACTACTATTAGTGGTGTTCCATATTTACCTCTAATAGGTTTATAAGCCATAGTTTTTTCTCAGTGCTTGCCGAACCCGTAATTCCCTGGTCCATTCCAGATTATAATCTTTGCAATTGGTGAAAATGTAATCTTTATTCCCGTTTGTGACACTGTGGAGGCCTAAAATACGGGAACCAATCAGAAATGGATTCAAATTGTCTTGACTCTCAGTATAAAGGGACTCTAAACTCACTGATTCAAGTTGCCTTGTGCCTTGGAGGCTGCGTGTAATGCGTTTTGCGTTATTTTGATTGCAGGCAACGCGCAGTTCTACATCATCCTGGCACTATGCATCGGGTTCGTGTCGGTGGTGGTGGGCTGCTGGCTCTCGGACAACTGCTGGTCCCCGGAGCCGGAGACGTGCGTGACGCTGGCATAGCCATTGCCGATGGCGCAGCGCCTCCAGTCCCAGTGTCAGTCCGGGCCCAACAACACCTCCTCCCCGATCCGGGTCACTCGCTTCGGCTGTCGCCTCCACGGATTCTGACCAACCGCCCAAGCCACCCTCGCTTGGCTCCTCCGCTCCGTGCACTCTCTCACCTCCGCGCTCTGGCGACTCGACCAGACGGACAAGTCCATACTGCCTAGGTAGAAAGAGCCCCGATCAGTGCTCCCATTTTCCGGAACTTGTTCCGAATTCCGGAACTTTTGAGATTTTCCTGAATTTTCCCGGGACTTTCGTAATTCCCGAAATATTCCGGATCTTTCGCATTTTCCGGAACTTTTGAAGGTCATGGAGTGAGGGAAATTGGAAAAAAAGTTCCGAATTCCGGCACTTTTGAGATTTTCCTGAATTTTCCCGGAACTTTCGTAATTCCCGAAATATTCCGGGTCTTTCGCATTTTCCGGAACTTCTGACGGTCATGGAGTGAGGGAAATTGGAAAAAAAGTTCCGAATTCCGGCACTTTTAAGATTTTCCTGCATTTTTCCCGGAAAGTTTGAAACTCCCAAAATGTTCCGGATCTTTTGCATTTTCCGGAATTTTCTTCGAACTTTCATAAAAATCCAAAAGTAATCCCGGAACTTTTGACGGCCATGGAGTGAGAGAGATCGGAACAAAAAAGTTCCGAATTCCGGCACTTTTGAGATTTTCCTGAATTTTTCCCGGAATTTTGAAATTCCCGAACTGTTCCGGATCTTTCGCATTTTCCGAAACTTTCTTCGAACTTTTGGGAAAAATCTAAAAGGAATCCCGGAACTTTTGACGGACATGGAGTGAGAGAAACTGGAACAAAAAAGTTCCGAATTCCGGAACTTTTGACGGACATGGAATGGGAGCATCATGAACGAGGGCAGTAGCAGTGGCGTGGCGTGCTTTGCGATAAATTGATTTATCTGCCATTTAAACCTATGGAAAAGGATCAATAAACAGGGTGTTCACAACGAACACCTCAATAATCGATTCTTTACCATAGCCTCATTGGGGAAACATCGATAATCGACCATTCACGCCTCGCCACGGGGCAATTCAGCAGATACATTATTAAAATCATAAATATGTTTGTGTGTTCGACAAGACTAGAGTAAGGCGGAATGGGTCCATGTGATTATTGGTTCATCTTTTCCGGCGAACAAACACAGAATTTCAACAAGTATCCTGCAGAGAGAATAATCAGGGTGATCCAAAATTCCCACAACATCCTTTTAACCTTTTTCTCACAATTTTTAAAATAAACCTACTCCAAAACCAAACTTTCAACAGGCAAAACAAGTTTTGAGCCATAATGTTCAAGGATAAAAGGTTGAACAATAACCTACTTTCAGAATTGTTCAAGTACACAAAAATAAAAATCAAGGAAAGTTTGGGACGAGAATATGGAGATGTTTTAAACGCCTACTACATTTTTTTTCAATAATTGTTCGAATACAGCCCAAGACGTCATTACATGTATCACATCCCGTTTAAATATTGTCAATATAATAGTTGTATATGATATATTTCACACATCGAAGAGGAAAAATCTCAGATTATATTGATTCTATCTGATAACCCAGATCCTTAAAGGAAAGCTTGCGAATCATGCTTGAGAGCTACAACAATGAAAATAAATGTTTCAGGCTTCAATTTTTCATGACAGCTCAAAGTCATTCTTTAAGTCCGATAGGAAGTTGGAGTAGGCTAGTTATATAGATGTTTCAGCCGCTGTCCTGAACTCTATTAAAAGAATCAAGAGGTGTTGAGTAAATGCGGCGATCATCATTATATGCAATTCTCTTGGTGGTGTTCTTCCAACTGTCTTTTCTACTTTCAAGTATGTCTATTTCTCTTTTTATTTTTGGAGTCGCAGTTCCTCTTTGCCTTAGTTTTTGTATTTTTCAGGGTAGTCCCCACACTTTCAATATTGCACTTAACACAAAGGTAAATAAGTGTTTCGCATCAAATTAGCGTGTAATTTTTTATTTCAAAATGTGTATTTTACCCCTGTATTTGTGTGGCTGTTCATTATTCGTGAAGTGAAAATTATAGGGAGATGCTATTATAGTAGCTACTTAACACGGAAAAATACCTACGTGTTACGAATTCGTATCCAAACATAGGAAACAGGAAGTGAGTTGCGTGGTATGCACCACAAAAAACTGGGAGGTTTTAAAAAGGATGAGAATGGTGTCGATACTCAATCGTTTTATATGCCTTAACAGGCTAAAGAAAAGGTCAGATTGGTTAAGTTCGATAGAAACATGAAAAGAGAAAAGGCTAAGAAGCTGATTGTGAGACTTGTTTTTTAAATAGGTAGTTCATTTATTGACTTAACGAATCATATTTTATGTAATTAATTTTCAAAACAAATCTATACAAGATAGAAGTTTCCTGCCTATGCTTATACTTGTAACTTTGAAAGGACCATGTGGATTCAAATTTCAATCTTAAGTGTTCTCTCTCTACCGGCTAATGCTCTTTCCTGGACTAATCGAATTTGCAAATGCATTTGTTCGCACCTCAACTCTTTTGATATTTAATTGCCAATATCATGTATTGATGATTATAATTTGGCACCAAAAGACACAATCAATCATTGACCCCTTGATTTTGTAGAGCTCATCGCACTCTTAAAGTCCTTTTCAAGATTAATTTTCCAAAATTGTGGCAGCAGGGTATGGGAAAAGAGGACATAAAATGAAAAAGACAAAATTTCACAATTCAAAAAGACAATTCAATTTGGGGTTGATACCGCACCATTTTCCAAGAAAAAGCAGCCAAAAATTTGCTAGAATGCTTCGGAGTTTGAGACAATAAAAAATAGCGATATCGAGGAAATCGTAGCCGAATAGAGCCAAGCGACGCGCAGTTGCAAGTCTCTATCCTTGTTCCATTCAAATTCTTATAACTTTGATAATTTTTGACTTGAAATTTTCACAAAATTTTCTTCAGAATATTAGGCATTGATTTTGATCGAAAACGGAAAATCGATAGTTTCCACCTGAATTGCATTTTTTCGCCCGCTTGGAAAACTTTACCTCTTCCTTTGGAAAATCCTTTCCCTATGCCCAGTCACAATCAACAATCTTGGTCTTACTTCAACCGTCATGATGTTAATACTTGACGTCACAAAGCTTTTGAAATTTTCTTTGATGACACTTATGTTGACGCTATATTTTCCTTTAGTAAATTCCAAGGGCGAAAATGCTAGATTCTAACTATAAGTATGGTGAACGGAATCATGGCCTAGGTACTTCATTTTGATTGGACGTGCCGAGAGGTAACGAAACCACACGTAGCACGTATAAAACGTTAACGTATGAATGTAAAATTAAGATTGAAGTACCTTCATTGAAGATGGGGCCCGAAGATATCCTACGGAAATTTTTGAAAATAAACCTTTCCAAACATGCAGGTCTGGCGTATGGGTGCATTGAACCAAAATTTCCGAAAACCTAGGACAAACATTTTATGAGCTCTTTTCCTGTACCTTTTATTATCCTGCTCGCTCTCAATGAAATAAATTACATTAGAGGAATTTGTACGCTTTCGGTGTCATCTCTTCATTTCCGCTTGTGGGCGCCATTGGAGCCCACGCAAAACCGATAGTGGGCCGCTACTTTAGATTCACCTCGTTTTGGTGACTTCTCAGCTATTGCCTCTCAATTCTCTACTTGAAAGTATTTAAGTATCAGGAGGGTAGAGGAATTGGACTGCATTTTGCAATTTGGAACTATAGATTCTGGCTCATCTGAAAACAAGCAGTGAACTCCAACACAATGTGTTGATAAGGCGCGTCATTAACTCACACATATCAACCCCTTTAGTTTTCATTTACAGAGATTTCAAAATAGGCAAGTAGCACAACAAGAGAATTCATACGATCCAACTCTTCGCACTTTGACGAGACCGTGTATTGTGAATGTAGAAAGCCATTCGAACGAGTTTATGTTTTTTGATCTGCCCCCAGCAATATCTTATCAGATTCTTGAAGAAAAGTGCTACGGAATAATTTAAGCGAAGAAAGGAAAAGTTCTGTCGAACTCCTGAAAGATACAGTCGATTTAAAGGTATTTTTGGGGGCTAAAATATCCAAATCACCGGTATACCTATTATAAATCCCGATTGTATTATTGAAAAGAAATTGACTCGATATAAATGTAATTGCATTAAATATGTCTTGATTTTGTTATTTTAAACGTAT